ATAAAGAGTATGTCCGCTTCTTTAGATAGTAGCGATCTTTTGAATGATGAGTTTAGGCCTAGCACATTGAGTATTGTAAGATTAATCATTGGTAAGCGTGGTTCCAAGATTTTCCATCAATTGGGGTGGTGTTTGAGAGGAGCGTATTATACTGTACTCTTCGAGAAAGAAGGTATTCGTGTGGGTGTCATAGGGATGTAACTCGATCGGAGCGATGGAGGGAGTATTCCATGATGATTCGAGGTAGTTAACGCTTGGGTCCTGAATGGGTGACCGGTGGTGCCAAGTTAAGGGGAGGGTAAGGGCATAGAGAACAGTAAAAAAAACATTTGCGAAAAATGCAAATAAGTTGAGTAGCTAACCTTGCTACTTTCAAAACTGGGGGGGTTTGAATGGGCTTTGACTGCGGGGGGGGGGGGGGGGGGGGTGTTAAGCCAATTGTAAACACGTAGTAGGGACTTCATTGGATCTAAGCCGAGCGCCAGATATTCCTGAATTAAGGAATGGCTCCTGGGAAAAAATTGTGAGCATGTTTCAGCATGAAGTATGTCCTGTAGTGATTATGTTGCCTCCATAGAGCTATGCACAGGTTCCTGTGTGTCTGCAGGTAGGATGTTCCAGGTTTTGAGTAGTTCCATACCCGCTTCCAGGGTTTTAATAGTAAAAATCCTGCCATGTTGCCGCACTGTTATTCTGGTGGGGAACCCCCATTGGTAGGCTATGCCGTGATTTCTGAGGGCCTTGGTGATGGATACCATTTTTTTTCTGTTGAGAAGCATAGCTTTAGATAAATCTGCATATAAGCGGAGATTTGCATGTGAGGGCGGGAGTGGCGGTGGGTTTCGAACCGCCGTCATAATTTTTTCTTTAACGTGGTAGAAATGTATGCGGGCCAATACATCTCTAGGAATAGATGCCGGCAAAAAGGAGGGTTTAGGTAGACGGTGTGCACAATCAATTGCGATCTCTAGGTCAGAGAGTGATGGAAGAAGGATTTTGATGTATTGCTGTATGTGGGGTAGTAATGCGTCGTTGGTGACTGATTCAGGGATCCCTCTGAACTTAATATTATTACGGCGTGATCTGTCCTCCAGGTCGGCCAATTTTTGGTTGATTTGCTCAATGTCGGTTGAGTGGTCTGCATGTGCGTCAATCAAATCATTGTGCGCCGTGATTATGTCTCCCATGCTATTTTCAATGTGGCTTATTCTGTGTTCCTGTTGTTGTACTATAGTCGAGATCTGATTGAGTGACGTAAAAATGTTGTTGTGCAGGGATTGGCGCAAAGATGTGAGCATGTTTTTCATGCATACCTCCGTCAATGGTAGATCTGACGCAGGAAATGCATCTATGTCAGGTAAGGCCGTGTGAGGTGGTTGAGGCGGAGGGTTTAAGGCCTGGTAAGCTGTGCTGAGGTCCTGATCTAGTCATGGCCGGGACTTGGCTGGGCTGTGTGATGTAGGGGACAATGGGGGTGACAACTCACCAGGGTCCCCTGGGTAAAGCGAGTGCTGGAGCCTGGGGTCCTGCTGCTGAGACCTGTAGTCCTCCTGCAGAGCGCTGCTGTCATTCAGCTTGTGGCCGCGGGCGCCATCTTGGATTCCTGGCCTGACGGCCGGGAAGAATTGTGTTAACTTCCCCGGCTGCTCCGGGGTTTTTTTTCTGTGGGGCATAGCGTGGGAGGTGCGGGCAAGGTGCCCGAAGGTAACTGTGCCTGTGTGGAGTCCCAGGGCCGGTGTGAGCCACTCGTCTGCTGGCGGATGGACGGCGCTGCTTTCAAAGCACGTCTATCTTAGAACCGGCCGCGCATGCGCCCCCCAAACATTTTTTTTAATGCACAAAAACACAATATATTGGCCAATTATCTGGTAACATATAGAAAGATGATGGTATGCCAAGTAAATAGATACCAAACATGACATGATTTAAAACTGCGCATGCCCCGTGCAATGGTGACAAACTGCATACAATTTTAATACCCATAGGCAACACTTTAAAAGCCTTTACAAGCTACCATTTTAGATTTACAGAGGACGGCTAGTGTTAGAATGACTGCCCTTGATCTGACGTTCGCGGCGATACCTCACATGCATGGTGTAACTGTTGATTTTTTTTATTATTTTTACATTGTCCCTTTCATTTTTTTTTTTTTTATTACTTTTAATGCTATCACAGGGAATGCAAATATCCCCTATAACGTCAATGGGCATTGTCATATATTTTTTTTGAGAAATCTGGGTTCTATCAGACTCTAGATCTCTCCTCTGCCCTTACATTATCTAATAAAACCAAGATCAGTGTGATCAGATGCTTTCCCCATTTTTAAAATGGCGCTGTTTATATCCTGCAAAACTGAAGTGATGAAATGCTCATAGCTTTCGATTTCTTAGACTATAGAGATGATTGGCACCATTCTGGTCTCCAATCAGCTCTATGGTCAGCTGGCAGAAACACCGGCTGCATTCTCAGGTTCCCCCGATGGCACGGGACTGCCCAAGAAGGCCGTGGAAGGCAGTGGGGGGGGGCATCATCTCCCGCTGCTTGTAAAAGCAATTCCGCATCTAACTAGACACTAGGATTGCTTTTTCATGAAAGCCAATTGCTGGCTGAAACAAATGATACCAGGATGATGCCTGTAGCTGTAGGCATCATCCTAGTATACCCATTCAAAGTCCAGTGATGTACCAGTACGTCGCTAGTCCTTGTTGGGTATACAGTTGTGTTCAAAATAATAGCAGTGTGTTGAAAAAAGTGAATAAAGCTCAAAATCCTTCTAATAGCTTTTATGTCCATACACACAAATGCATTGGGAACACTACACATTCTATTCCAAATCAAAACATGAAGAAAAATATATCAAGTTTGTGTTGTTCCTCTAAAAAAAATGGAAGAAAAGTGAATATTAGACTGAGTTTGTAAAGAACAATACAAACACTGCTATTTTTTTGAACAAACATTCACTATATAAACTGAAAAATGTTTGAAGATTTTGCTTTCCTTTGAATCACTGAATTAATATTTAGTTGTATAAGCACTGTTTCGGAGAACTGCTTTACATCTGTGTTGCATGGAGTCAACCAACTTCTGGCAGCTGTGAACAGGTATTCCAGCCCAGGATGATTGGACTACATTCCACAGTTCTTCTCTATTTCTTGGTTTTGCCTCAGAAACTGAATTTTTGACGTCACCCAAGTTTTCTATTGGATTAAGATCCGGGGATTGGGCTTGGCCACTCCATAACGTCAATCTTGTTGGTCTGAAACCAAGATGTTGCACGTTTACTGGCATGTTTGGGGTCGTTGTCTTGTTGGAACATTCATTTCAAGGGCATTTCCTCTTCAGCATAAGGCAGCATGACCTCTTCAAGTATTCTGATGTATTCAAACTGATCCATGATCCCTGGTATGCGATAAATAGGCCCAACACCGTAGTATGAGAAACATCCCCATAACATGATGCTTGCGCAACCATGCTTCACTGTCTTCACAGTGTACTGTGGCTTGAATTCAGTGTACTCTGGCCACTAGACCCAAAAATAACAATCTTACTTTCATCAATCCACAAAATGTTGCGCCATTTCTCTTTAAGCCAGTCAATGTGCTCTTTGGCAGATTGTAACCTCTTCAGCACGTCTTTTTTTCAACAGTGGGACTTTGCGGGGGCTTCTTGCAGATAGCTTGGCTTCACATAGGCGTCTTCTAATTGTAACAGTACTCACAGGTAACTTTAGACCTTCTTTGATCTTCCTGGAGCTGATTGTTGGCTGAGTCCTTGCCATTTTGGCTATTCTTCTATCCATTCGAATGGTAGTTTTTTGCTTTCTTCCACATCTTTCAGGTTTTGGTTGCCATTTTAAAGCATTTGCGATCATTTTAGCTGAGCAGCCTATCATTTTCTGCACTTCTTTATATGTTTTCCCCTCTCCAATCAACCTTTTAATCAAGGTACGCTGTTCTTCTGAACAATGCCTGGAACGACCCATTTTCCTCAGAATTTCAGAGAGAAATGCACTGTAACCAGCATGTACAACATTTACTGCCTTCCTTCCTTAAATAAGGGCAATAATTACCACCTGTTTTTCAAAGAATAAATGACCTCTCTAATAGAACTCCATACTGCTAATGTTTTGAACATGCCCCTTTCAATTAGTGATTCAATTACACAGAATCAGCAGCATGCATGTCATGACTGTTGGGTCTGTTGGATTTCTATTACTCTACTACACCTGCTAATACATTATTTGCCATGTAGAAATATCATTTCTACCAAAAACAGTGATTGATCAGGTTAGTGATGTCTGACTGCTATTATTTTGAACACAACTGTATATTCTATGTTCTCTTTTTCATTCAGTCTACAGGCTGCATACAAAAAATAAAAAGAAGAAATCTCTGCCATAAAAAGTGTGGTATGCCCACCATTAGAATATACCGCCCTGCATCCACCCACTTCTAATGGTGGGCACATTAGGTCACACTGTGCCACATGTGCCAGTTCTAAGATTGTACAAATGTCTAAATAGTGGCACGCTTGAATAAAAATTGTCCACGTATAAGTGGTACCCTATATGGAAAAAGGATGACACCAAGTCCCAAACTATCTTGCCACTGCTCCCCATGTAGCCTGGGCATCCGGAGGGGCTCCACATAACTATCTTTTCTCTTGTAAATCTCAAACTTGTATGTATAGTCTGTTGTCCTCTCACAGGTCTTCTACATCTTGACCCCATATCTGGCACACTTGCTGGAGAGAAATTGTTTGAATGCAAGGAGGCCAGAAAAATGAATGAGGGACTCATCAACGCAGATGTTTTGCTGGGGAGTATAGACATCTGCAAATTTTTGGTTAAGGTGATTTGCGAGGGGCTAACTTTTGTGGAGCTGATCAAATTCAGGGTCACCTCATGGATGACAGAGTGTACTCTCATATCTATGCCTGGCCATGGAAGCAGAGAACACGGGCATATGATGATTTGGGTCTGTGGACCAATACAACCGCAATTCATTTGTTTTTAGTAATGCCCATGTTGAGGGTTAGGCACCAAAAAAAAAAAAAAAAGTAAATTCGAAAACCGTAATGAGTTTCCATGCGAATGGACTGGCAAGGTTTGAATGTGGGTTGGCGGCGATAAATTGTTGCACATATAAATTGCTTTGATCCACAATCAATGCATACAGATCTTCCGTGAGAAACAACTCCAAAAAAAATCAATGGGAGTAGTTAAATTTGCTGTTTCCACCTGAATTCCGGGTTGGGCAGTGAATGGGGGAAGTACGGGTGCTGCAGAATTTTGTGGGCTGCCAATCGGGATTTGCAAGCACATCCAGAAGGATACTAGGGGCTCTACGGGCCTGTGTGCAAATTTTTGATGGTTGTGGGACAATACTTGTGTTCGCCACCGCACCAGCTTGTACTGGACTTATGGGTCTCGCCACGTCACCAGGTCATACTGCAGTGCCGGTATTATTATTATACAGGATTTATATAGTAACAACAGTTTTCTCAGCGCTTTACAATATAACGGGAGACAATACAGCAACAATACAGTTCAATACAAGAGAATTAGGAGGGCCTGATCCTGGGAGCTTACAATCTAAGAGGTATGTGAAAGACCAAGATGTACTAGGCCACTGGTGCTCGCCAGTTCACCAAAAGGTAGAACGGTACTAGTATTAGCACTCTTCTGCATATGAGAGTCATCAAAAGTTACCGGCAAGTGCTAACAGAGATCAGGCCTGATTCTGCCAACACTGCGGTTTTGTGTGCAATGTATCAAGTGACAGTGACCTACTGACAATGCACTTGATGGGGGAGAAGGGGGGGAAGCATAGGGGCTAAAAACGCAGGTGCTGGCAGGTGCCGGGGCTGATCCTGCTAACGCTGCATTTTTGGGGACTCTATACTAATGTGAACGCTGGTATAGTGCTGATCTGATCAAAGATATTGATCCATTCAGACACTATACTAGGGGGTGGGTGCTTCATAGGAATATACTGTCTGGAAAGGCTGAAGTCCACTCTCCAGAACAGTGTGCTGGAAACTGACAGGGAGCAGAGCTGCATTGAAAACTAAGCAGCTGTGCTCCATGTCAGTGTTTGCCGGCCATGCAGCGGGATCCGGTGGGTAATCACCGGCCGGGACCCGGTAATTGACACCCGCGGCCGTGCGCCCCCTATCCCGATATGCAAAATCGCACACACACACATATATATATATATATATACACACACACACACACACACATACACGCGCGCGAATTTGTGCAGCGGTGCCACCATGCCGCAGTATATGTACTGTGGCTGGTCGGCAACCGGTTAAAGGCAAGCAATAATAAAGGCTTTGAATTCTGAGTTTCACACCTCAGTGTCTGAATGGCATTATTCCCAAAGTACCTTGTACCTGTTATGATTGGAGGGAGGCCAACAGCACAAAATTGAGTTTCCTAACAATAGGTGTTATATCTTTCACTTGGATGTTAAACATTGCACTTAATAAATACAGCTGGATAAAACAAAAATTGTGTTTGTCTTCATTTCAGCTGCAAAGCAACAAAATGTGATTATTTTAAAAGGGTGTGATTCTTTTCTATACCCACTGTACATCCAGGAAAAAGAGAACAGGTGTTCCTAAAAGAAGCAGAGATTACATCCAGACAATGAAGGGAAATTTACACACATACATATATACACAGTATACCTGGGAAGTAAGCAATCCCTTTTAGGTGGTCATCTTGTTTAGTTTCTTCTGATGCTCCCACGGTCGTTATGGGTAGATAGGAGGACATATTTTATATCTAGGAGAATGTGTCCAAACTAGATCTAATTTTTCTCACCACATTGCCAATTATGTACATTACTCTATTTTTTTTGCTTAAGCATTTCCTGCCTGGCCTATGGCCGAATGGCGGCCGGCAAAAACCCTTATCTTTCTGGGTGGACGCCATATGGCGTCCTTTCGGGCATGCACAGTTTTTACGCCTGCAGAGCCGCGCAGCGGCACGATCTGTCACCGGCCGTGTACCTTGGACACGGCTGATGACAGATCTGAGTACCGGCCCCGTTGCCAGTACCATGTGACCTGCTGTGACCAATCACAGCAGGCCACATGACAGTTGTATACAATGGATGGCTTCAATCATGCCATCCATTGTATACTAGTGTGTCTAGCTGTGAATGGTCATAACGATCACATGCACAAGCTTGGCCAATCACTGCCCAGCTGTGTCATGTGATTAGCCGTGGCCAAATCACAGCTAAGCACAGAAAAAAAAAAAAAAAAACCCTGAATAAATCGATGTCATTCAGGTAAATGCTTGCTTATAGCAAAGTAATTCTTTGCTATAAGCAAATTGTGTAAAAAAAAAAAAAATACTGATCACTTCCCCAAAGTAGTACAATGTTACTATGGTAACATTGTACTACTTTGGTCATAGTGAAATATGAAAACAAAATCTTAAAAAAAGAAAGTAATAAAAAAATAATTTTTTTTTAAAAATTATATATTTTTCATACTGTCACCAGTGTCCCTGATCACCGCCATGCCAGTTATATGATGACGCTGTACTGCACTGGTGACAGTATGTAAAAAAAAAAATAGTGAAAATTATTTTTTTTTTAATTTTTTTCATTTTCCGAAAAATGACAAAAAAATACAACTTCAAAAAACTCGCCATGCCTCTTATGAAATACATTGGACTGTCTACTTTGCAAAAAGACCTCAAGAAATTAGATTGGCTGTCAGTACTTCAGGATTGATCAATATTCAGATATATCCCATAGTTTGTGAACTCTATAACTGTCCTACAGACTAAATAATACATCCTAATTTGGGTTATTTTCACTAAAGACATGTAGCAGAATACATCTTGGCCTAAATTTATGAAGAACAATTATTTATTTGCAAACCTTTATAAAGAAACAATGAAAAATGTGTTTTTTTTTTTCAAAATTTTCGGGCTTTTTTTTGTTAATTTAGCAAAAAATAAAAACCCCAACGGTGGTTAAATAGCACTAAAAGAAAGCTCTAGTTGTGTGAAGAAAATTATAAAAATTTAGTTTGGGTACAATGTTGTATGACCGCGCAAAGTGTGAGAGCACTGAAACCTGAAAAATGGCCCGGGTAGGAAGGGGGTAAAAGTGCCCTGTATTGAAATGGTTAAAAGACATGGCTGCTGGATCAATTCTTCAACTATCTTGATTGTGAACACAGGTGACAATATAGGTGTGGTAAAAACGTGTCTGACATACAGAAATAAGTGGAAAAATACAATTGCAAAAGGTACCTAAAATTATCTTTCATTTATTCAGATTTGTTTTATCTCCAGTTAGTAAAAGAAAGATGTGCCTCTTTTTATACATATATACAAATCAGATATAAAAATAGACAACACATTGTAAAGAGGAAAAGAAGAAAAGGCTTTGCATTGCTTAGTTTCCCGCTGTTGTGTATGTACACACACTTGTGATATGCTCATCTGAAATGTATGTGTGCAAATAAATGCAGAGTTTTATCTTTACACTTTGTTGCAGGTCTGAACTGCAGGAAAGGTGTTTGAAGCCATCAAATGTTCACAGAGTAATTGGCATCTAATGCAGAGGTTCTAATTCTTAATCTCTGGGTAAGACTGAAATAGAAAGCAATAGTTCTGCATATGTGAAAAGGAGGTAGGAGGCATCAGCCAACAACCACATCCGATTAACAAGTGTCTTCCAATGAAACCACACTGCGTTGCTCCTGGAAATGCATTCAACCCTTGTATATAAACTCAACACATGACTGAGGTTTAAGTTGATGAACAGAATGCAGCAATTATGCATATGGCCTTCAAAATGTTGCACAAAAATAAACAAAGGATGAGCCTCTGGATTTCTAAAAGTTCACAAGCTGGAAGCCTCTTGCAAATTAGCTGCTAATCTTGTGTTCAGGAAAGATGAAAAAAAAATAAACTGAAAAAACAGCCACTGCATTACCGATGAACTTAAAACAGTGAATGCTTTCAGAGCATTTGGGCAGCACTGTACCTGCTACAAGTCTATTGACTTCAGGGCCAAGGATTCTCACTGAGATCCAATTATCCCAAACTGGTGCCAGACACATGAAATGCTTCTGTAGGGTCACACCATCTTGTAAGTCGTTGTTTCATCAAAGGTTGCCTTACTTTAAGGCAATGAAATTCATATTCTGTGAGGTGTGCACAGACGTATAGGATGTGTTGGAGGATGTCCTCCTGTAGATCTTTGGCTGTCCATTTTAAAAGACCTTGATTTATAGAAATACCTGGATGAACATGCCCATAGGCTGTAGAAATTTACTGTCCCCCTGGGTTTCCAGTAGATTTACTGTGTCTTCGTGTTGGGTTTTCCGGTGTTAAGCAGATGGGGTTATTTATTTTAGAAGTGCTAGATACATTGTTTCCTTTACTAATGGGTGAGTTAACTGGAGAGGAGGTGTTTAACGGGCCAAAGTCTGAAATGCCAGAAGTTCGTAACAGAGAAGTCTGAATGGGACTGTTTGCTGGTAGACCTGCAGAAAGATACATATTTATTTTGCTTACTTTAAATACAGTATGTTTACACAACAGAGACTCAATTCAGGACAGAATCAAATAGGTTGCACACAATGCTGGCACATACCTTTTGATACATTGTATCCATATGCTGCATAAGCTGCTGCAGATGCTGCAGCTGCCCCTGCCATTGCTCCTGCAATTGCTGCTGCACTGCCAGCAGTGGATTTTCGACTTCGGGATTTTCCACCTTTAGGGCCAATTCCACCAGCCTTGGCTCGATTTCTATTGCGATTTGAGCATCCTCGCCCGCCATACTGTGCATCCTGACTGGAAATTCCTATTTTAAAAAAAATAATGAAGACCAACACTTAAAGAATGTTACATACTATGATAGCAATGTGCCAAGTTCCATAAACTGTAGATTTAGACTTATAGATTTCTTTAAACATTGCACAGTTTCAACTGGATTTTCCAATGTGTAAGTCTCTGTTTAACAAGCAAGCAGTAAAATTCATCATCAATGTATCTTGCACAGGAACAACAGAAAGGTGCTACTGAAGTAAGCTGTAGTACTGCAGTACTTGGTAAGAGGCTTAAAACTGTATACAGCACAAAGTGTATTAGAATTTCAATTAATTATCTAACCAAAACTTCCAATTATCTTCCAACAATAACAGGAGAGTGAATTTAGCAAATAAGCTGAAGTTATGCTTCACACTTATAATCACATCTAAGGATTCTTTCACACAGTCAAATAGGCCATGGTGTGGAAAGTATCTTGAGAAAAACTTTGCCAGAAGCCCAGGTGTGTGAGGGACAGCCATGGCCAGGAAGCCTATACAAAGCAATGACACGGGGTGGGGTACAGAAACAAGCACCCACTGGTCTGGACCAGAGCCATCAAAGGTACAGATAGACTTGTGGAACAGGACAAATACCAGTATGCAAGACATGGGATGGCCTAGCTAGACAACCACAGACAGAAAGGAACAGACAGAGCTGTCAGTACACAGCAGACAGGGTCATAACCAGGAGCAACATGTTACACATACAGACAGGATCAGATGCAGAAGCCAATACAGGTCACATAAAAGAATCAAAAACTGAACCCAATGCATCAGGACTGGCTGCCAAGGGTGGAGCGCCTAAACAGCCATAAACAGAGAACAGATGAGACACAGGTATATGTTGGTTTCTCTCAATGGTAACAACCCATCTATCTCTCGAAATGTGTAGGTTTTTAATGTTAGTGGGAAGCCAAAGAGAAAAACATTTTTGGAGTCCCAGCATGACATATCTGCTACTGCCTATGACATAGTTTTCTGTCTCAGTTAGATTTGTCTTAATCGTTTCATGCAACTCCTTTATCTTTTTAGACAGTCCTTCTAATCCTACAAAAAAATGTAAATTACTTCATCAAGCATGTTGGTTAATTGATCAATTTAGAGAACAGAATGTGCTAATATGAGGATAAAGAGATTGTTTCCTTGGTTTATTTGCTTAATCGAAAAAAAAAAAAAAATCTTTAGTAGAAAGTATCTCCCTCTAGTGGCTAAGAAATTACATTTTAACCACTTGCCGCCCAGCCACCGCACATAAACGGTGGCAGGGCAGCGCTCGTAGGCAAAAGCACGTTTTAAAACGGCTGCCTTCAAAACAGGTAGGGGGCGCGCCCGCCCTACCTGTCCCGCGGGTGTCAGCAGCGGGTCTTCACTGATCACTGTATTGGTGTCACTGGGGATGTCAGTGACCCCAAGTCAGATCCCCCCCCAGTGTCAAAATGTCCGCCGCAGTCCGCCATAAGTCGCTGGTCGCCGTCATATGTTGCTGATTGCCGCCATAAGTCGCTGATCGCACCATTATTATAATAAATAAAAATTAAAAATCCCAGTATCTTTCCCGCCATTTATAACTTTCACGTAAACCAATTAATTTACACGTATTGGGTTTTTTTTTAGCAAAGACATGTCGCAGAATGCATTTTGGCAGAAATTTATGACTAAATTTGATTTTTGCATTTTTTTTTACTGGACATGTTTTATAGCAAAAAGTCCAAAATATTGTTTTTTTTCCCTCAAAATTGTCAGCCTTTTTTTTATAGCGCAAAAAATAAAAACCGCACAGGCGATCAAATACCACCGAAAGAAAGCTCAATTTGTGGGGAAAAAAAGGATGTAAATTTCATTTATGTACCGTATTGCATGACCGCGCAATTGTCCGTTAAACTAGCACAGCGCTGTATAGCAGAAAAATGGCGTAAATTGCAGTATTTATGCCATAGATTGTAGACGCTATAACTTCCACACAAAGCAATCAATATACACTTTTTTTTTTTTTTTTTTACCAAAAACATGTAGCAGAATACATTTTGGCCTAAATTTATAACCAACTTTGAGTTTACTATATATTTTTTATAGCTGAAAGTAAAAAATTGTTTTTCTTCAAAATTTTTGGCCTTTTTTTGTTTATAGCGTGAAAAATAAAAAGCGCACAGGTGATCAAATTACACCGAAAGAAATCTCTATTTGTGTGAAAAAAAGGACGTAAATTTCGTTTGGGTGCAGCATTGCATGACCGCGCAATTATCAGTTGAATTAGTGCAGCACCGAGTAGCAAAAAGAGGCCTGGTCATTAAGGGGGGTAAATTCTCTGGAGGTCAAGTGGTTAAAGTAAAAATGCAACTATTACTCATTGAATGCCCCTTCTCATTTTTATTAATAAATTAAATTACCTGTAAGTTGTAAAAGTAAATATCCTAGTAAAATGAAAAACTGAAAATGACAACAGACTAAAAAAAAAAAAAAAGATGTTTAATAAAGCAGGGGGGGGGGGGGGGGGGGGGGGGGGGGGGGGGGTTAAGCCTTAAAACAGACAAAAACACATGATCTTGGTCAAAGGAGTCACTCAAATGATTAATACTCACCATTCAGTGTGTCTGAGACAGAACCAGTAACAGATGCTGGAGAGTTTGTCCCTCTAGATTGTTGCGCTGAAGAAGAAGGGTCATCCACTATCACAAGCATGTCATTACTGCTCTCATCCATTGCAATCGATCCTGTGTGGAGTTCGCTACTGATCGATATCTAGCCATCAAAAAGATCAGAAATAGTAAGGGTACATTCACACGGGCCTTTTGCCATGGTGCAAATCCCAGCGGCAGGAATCTACTAACTCCTGCTGCTGGGTTTGACAGCTACTATCAGCTATCTGCGGCCACCAAGCCCTAACAGACAGGCTGTCAGCTGCTTCCAGCTGTCAAACCCAGCAGCAGGAATATGGGATTCACACTGTGGCAAAATGCACATACAAATGTATCCAAATACTTTACTAGTATCAATATTTGGATACACAATTATAATTCTAGTCAATCTGCATCACTATAAATAGAAGATTTTCCTGACAGATGAAGAATCAAATAAGCACCCTAGGGTGATAACTGTATAGCCAATCCCTAAGTTCTGCTATTATTCCACACTGTGTTTTGATTGTCAACACACACAACTTGGTTATATTTTCTAAACTACACTGACCTCGCTGAAGGGACTTGGCATTGCAGAATCCACACTGATGAAGGAATCTTCTCCATCAGCAGATAGGTTTGAGTTATCAGCTGAGGGAACGAAAGGGATAACCAGGTTAACTCCATCTTTCTTTTTTTTTCCCATCCATCTCATCTTCTTTCTTCTTCTGTAAACACAAATAAAAAAACTGAAATGCAACTAAATATCAAATGTAACAGGGTATACAGTATATCTGCTATAGTATTCACACAAGCATTGGAATGGTTAAAAACCAAAAAAAAAAAAAAAAAACACATGACCTCACAGCAGTAAGTGAACAGTGAAATAAAATGACCTTTTCTGCATATTTTTCTCTTTTTCGTTTGCGTTCTTTCACTTTGTTGGTCTCTTCTTGCTGCCTCTTCTCCTCTTGCCTCTGGCGTACTGAAAATAGAACATAATCTATAGGTAACTGATTACATACCAGTCAACACTGCAACTAATTCTTTAGAACTCTCATACATATCTTATTTTCAACAATAACCTAAAGACCTTTTTAGCGTCTTAACCACTTAAATTGGTAGTAAACCTCAGACATGAAATGTGAACTAAGCATATCTTTAAATAGAACAGAGCTAGCCTGGGTCTGTCCTGCTTCCCCCTGTAGCTGCATATCAGTACAATAGTGATCTATTACATGTTCATTAGATCAAGCAAAAAATATATAAAAAAAAAATTATATGATGACTGCTCTGCTGTTGCAGAGGTGCATGGGGCTTGTCCAGGTTTTGAAACAAAACAAATTGATTTGAAAAATTATAAATTAATCAATAAAAAAATATTCCCTACCCTGAATAATCCTCAGGATCAAACAAAAATATCAGATACTCTGAACAGCATTTGCATTTACTTTGTTGGAGGTAAATACTTAAGCAAGCATAAATCACATTTTTTATCTAATTCAGAATTTTAACCTTTGCATGTGGTAGATCGGGGGGGAGGGGCCTGAACATGGCGCCATGAGCTTGTGAGGAGAAGGAGCTCCAGACGCTGGAGTGATGACAGCTGCCTAATTGGACCACTTGACACCCCACCACCGGACATAGATCCAGATTCTGACAGCCGGGGAGGTGAACGGGGTCTCTTGTACAGTGCCTGCTCCTGACTCCTGGATTGTGACCAGCCCTATCCGGTCCTGTAGGCTGGAAGGGGGAGAAGTGCCCGGGGAGCCGGTGTGGTCCCTGGCTATCAGATCATGCTGGGGAGGTGGGGGACACCCAAGGGACACCTGTGCTGTATGCGGAGGTGGAGAGGTGGCCGGCAGGGAAGGTGAGCCCTGTCTGAGGAGTGGAGCAGTGGAGAGGCGGACACCGGGACCCAGGAGTGCCTGTCAGTGGAGGAGGGAGGAATCCCCAGGGAGGATTGAGCACAGGAGGAATCCCAGGAGAGATCATTGATTTGGAGCATTGCTGTGAGACCGTGAGACCATGAGACCCTGAGATACCTGTAAGCACAGGACACTTTGGAAAGATTGTATCTCTACACAGGTTCAGCAGATCATCAAATTGGAAATGCAAGTAGAAGAGATGAAAAGGGAACAGAGGAAGTTATCCTATAAATTAGAGGATGATGAGAACAGAGAGAGGAGAAATAATCTGAGGATCCGGGGTGTACCAGAAGATACAAGAGAAGAGGATCTGCGGGAAAAAAAAAATAAAGAGTGTGTTTAACCCCTTGTTAGGAAAATCAGACACAGACCCTTTAAAAATTGAGAGCGCATAAAATTAGACGTCCACCAGGAATCATGTCAGAACTTCCAATAGATGTGATTGTCCACTTCCATCATTATGAGGATAGAGAGCATATGGAAAAAAATTACGAGAGACTTCTGAAATAAAATTTGGAAAAACGAACTTGCAGGTTTTTGCGGATGTAGCCTCCGAGACTCTATCCAGAAGAACATCATTGAAACCATTATTAGATCAGATGAGGGAGAAAAGAGTTCGGTACAATTGGGGGTTCCCGACGCACTTGATGGGGTGGAAAGATGGGAAAATCGGCAAGATTGAGATTTCCAGAAGAACTAAGAGACTTGTGAAAAATTGGAACTGCAGAATGTTGATTTAGTGGGGTGGTCAGAGGGGTCCAACGAGAGAACGGTGTTAAGAAATGAGAAATGGCAGCATATTGATAAAAGAAGAAGGTAGCTGGGTCAGAGGGGGGCATTGTCTTTAGGTCTCACATGCTGAGAAGGTTTTCCCTCCCCCCCCCCTTTTTTTTTTCTCCTCGCCTCCCTTCATTTACCTTCCCCTTTGTTTCTCCATCTGGCTCCCTACAAGAAGCCAAAGTAAGATATCTTCGTAATTGGCACATAAAAAAAGCAGGATATAGATTTGCATTGGAAGATTACCCTTAAAAGAGAAGACCTGAAGGACCTATTAGAACAGGAAACGAGGAAAGTCTTCAATAGAGTTTCAAAGAAAAGATACCAGTGGGGGAATAGACCAGGAAAATTTATGGTGAAAAGATTTAGGAAAAGGAAATCAAAATATGATATAGAAAAATATTAAGGACAATGAGGGGGAATTGATCTAATCTACCACTGGTATTGCTATAGTAGGCTTTATGAGATGAACTCTATAAATCCAAAAGCAACAGAGGAAGAGAAGAGGAGGAAAAGACAAGAATTCTTAAAAACGGCAGATTTACCAAGAATTGCAGAAGATAAATTAGCATCCCTATAACGCGTAATTTCCCAGGATGAAATTAGAGTGGCCCTTAAGAGTTTGGCAGGAGGAAAGAGCCCTGGCCCTGATGGTTATATGGTGGAGTATTATAAGAAATCTAAAGAGTTATTGGTCCCTAAACTTTGTAGATATATGAATGCACTGGGGGAGGGAATGGAAATGAGGGAGGAATCATTGCACGCATATATAACAATTATTCTTAAATAAGGGAAAGCCACAATGCACTAGTTATAGACTAATATCACTATTAAATAGTGATAGTAAGCTGTTTGCAAAAGTACTAGCTACCAGGATGAAAGAGCTGATGCCGGAGTGGATACACCTAGATCAAGTAGGATTTATCCCAGGAAGGGAAGGAAGAGATAATGGTTTAAGATCACTGCTCCTTTTGCAAAAGCAAAAAAGAGGCAGGCAGCCGACAATTATACTGTCAATTGACGCAGAAAAAGCCTTTGATATGGTAGATTTGGGATTTATTATAAATACACTAGAAGCAGTAGGATTAGGGGAAAAAAAATGGCGAAGTGGATAAAAGGGCTTTATAATTACCCTTCAGCAGCCATGAAGGTCAATGGGTCCCTGTCGGGGACCTTTAGAATGTATAATGGAACCAGACAGGGATGTCCATTATCCCCGTTGCTATTTGTTTTATCCCTAGAACCACTTTTGGTATTGGTAAGAAAGAGCACAGATATTACAGGAAAACACTACGGAGAGTTATCAAATCTGAAAATAAACCCTCAAAATCTGAGATTTTAAATATTAAAGTGTCAAAAAGCAGAACATTTTCCATTTACATGGAGGGAAAGAGAATTAGGCTATTTGAGAATAAAGTTAACCTCCTCAATAAAGGACTTATATCAAGTTAATTATATCCCACTAATAAATTAAATTAAAGATGAGTTGAGAAGACTCTCAGTGGGGTTGGTCTCATGGATTGGGCATATAAATCTGGTTAAGATGGTAAAAGTCCCAAAAATCCTGCATAAGTTTCAAATGCTCCCAATATATTTACCCGGATCTTGTTTTTAGGATAATAAAAAAATTGATACTGAAGTTCATATGGGCTAATATGAAACCAAGAATTAAGTATGAAACTTTGTTACAACAAAGAGAAAAAAAGGAGTAAATCTGCCAAACATGAGGAAGTATTACCTGTCGGTGTTATTATCACGGGTGGTAGATTGGACACATAATTCACTAGAGAAAAGTTGGGTTGAAATGGAAGGTATATCAAGTAATACACAATTAGAGCGGATCATTTGGATTCCACAAAAGTATAGGGTTAAAGATAAAAATAGTAGCACATTGACAGGGAAGGCGTTGAGAATTAGGGATCGTTTGCATACGTCAATGGGTTGCAAGTACAATTCTTTATTGTTCCCTCTGGTGTTTTTTCCTCCAGGGAGAGAGAATATTTCAGGGAAATGGTTTAAAGATAGAAATGCTTGGTTAAGGGATATAGTAAAGGATAGCTATGCACTTTAAGCGTTAAAGAGTAAAAAAGATTTATTTTTTGCATTAGATGAACTGAGATACTTTCAATTAGGACATTTTGTCTCAACTCTCCCCCAACCACTGAGGATGCTTAAAGACATGCTTCCATTTGAAAAAATGTTGAGTTCCAAGATAGTATATAAACATATAACCTCTAGGATTTATAAGATCCTAATTGAATTGATAGGATCTGAACCTCCGTCATTTTTGGATAAATGGGAAAGAGAATTGGGTACAAAAATAAAAAGAAAAGAAGATTAAAATGTTTAAGTTAATGCATGGAGTGATAAATATGAACACAATTGAAATTAATGTTTATCCAGATGGTACTGTACACCGAGTGCGGCACAAACAACGAGGAGAAATATCACCACTGTGTTGGAGGGGTTGTGGGGCAAAGGGCACAATGCCTCACATTTGGTGGGATTGTCCAAAAATACAGGTGTTCTGGCAAGATAAAATTCAATATATACAGAAGATTTTGGGGGTATCTATTCAGATGGATCCGTGGGTGTGTCTTTTTTTATAAATCAGATGTAAGTGAAACAATATAAAAACAGTATATTATACCATCTGATTAGTGCGGCAAAAAGTTTAATCCCCAAATTTTGGCAGGTCCAGGACCCCCCAACAACAAGGGATAGATAGAATCAAATATATAAATAGGATGGAGGAGTTACGCCATATGGAAGACAAAATGGAAACATCTAGAAAAGATTGAAGTAGGTGGTATTAATTTAAAACATCCGGAAAAATATTTAAAAATGAGGGTAGTAGAAATGGAGAATCAAACTGGTTAACTAGATAATAGAAAATAGGGTTGTAGACATTGGTAAACAGGGAAGGAAAGAGTTAAGAATTACTTAGACAGGGGTAACTGTATTGGGAGGGGAGGAACGAGAGGAGGGAGGAAATGGGGTTAAAGCTGTTTTTTGTTTTTTTGGGAATGTATGTGATTTGATAAATGATATATGGTTGATTTATGTCTTGCAATAAAATTTAATAAAAGATAGAATTAAAAAAAAAAAGAAAAAGAAAAGAATTGTAACTGTTGCAAATCTGAATTTTGTTTTCCTGTGCAAGTTGCAACTATATACAAGATGGAGCTTTATCTTTATAACATTGAGCTTTATCTTTAAAATTATATCCCCCTTAGTCAGAAGCTTCATTGATCATATAGTTTTGCAGGATTTAAAGCTGTGCAAATAAAAAAAAAAAGCTGTGTAAGGAAAAATTATAGAAAAATGCCATTTCTAAACTGTTCTGAAAAATAAAAGATTTGTCCAAAATAAAAGAGGGAGAAAGGCTGTGAGGCTCAATCAGAAACCCTCAATTTACATACATTTCTTCTCCAGCTCTTCATCATCCAGAAGGAGGCTAACCACCTCTTTTGGTTTAAGAGTGTCTGGTTTAAAATTTCCTCCAGAAATGACCACTCGTTGAATCTGCAAAAAAAAAAAAAAAAATTGACAGACCACAAATTGTGAACAAAAAAAAAAAAAAAAAGATTGTCACTTTGAGTGATAATGTGTTTACAGGAAACAACTAATACTGGAAAAGGTAATGTTGAACAATGCTGCATACACATCAGAATTGGCTGCTTAACCAAAAAATGCTTGCCAAATTGTGGCTGGCTATGAATACAGCGTATTCCTTAATAAATCCACATAGGCTTTAAACTAAAGAATTTGCCACATGTTATTGAACTGTGGCAATGGCTCACCAGTGCAGGTTTAAAAACAGGTGTATGGTTCAAAATAAGTGTCCCTTAAGCAAAGAGCTATCAGCTATCCATGTTCACTTTAAAAGCTCTCCCAGATGGGTCATGTGTCCCAGGTGGTCCAAGTCATTTATCATTCTCAGCCTTCCCTTGATGCACAGAGTACAGTATGTTTTAAAGGAGAAGTATAGACAAAGCTATGTTGGCTATACTTCTCCTGGGGATGACAGGAGTGCAGTTTGTTCTGCACTCCTGTGACCCGTTTTCAGCTGACAATGGGCTAAAGTTTGCTGTTGGATGATGTCATTCACCTAGTCCATACTCAGGCAAGATCCCAGGTTTAAAGTCTGGATCCATCCAGATGCCTGGATCGGCACCTGGCTCAGCCTCTCAGTGAGCCACTGAGAGCCTGAGCCAACCGTTCCCTTCCCCTCCACAGCCCGGAGCTCCAGTGAGTGCTAGAGGGCAGAGCTGCACACCGACAGTAACGGCTCTCTGCTCAGAGTGGAGAGAAGAACTGAGTGATCACAGAGTTTGATTGCTCAGTTCTCAGTATTAGAGCCGACAGGGTACAGATGCACTATCAGATCGATGCCGCATCCAACTAGGTGAGTAGAAATGTTTGAGTTTTTTTTTCATAACCCATACTTCTTTTAAACGTTTAAGGTGCCCCCATCCATTACAATCCAGTTACATTCTATAATCATTACATTATATATTCTCCATTACCTTTGCCAACTATTAAGGGCTGACCTAAATAGGCTAGTTAAAACAGAACTTCACTCTCTTAATCAACATTGACTACTTTTAATCATTATGCAGCTAGCATTAGTAAATAAATAAGAAAGTAGATCATATGTGCTTATTTTAAACTTTTTTGTTTTGTTTTTTTTACAGTTACTTCCTGGTTTCCATGGCTAGGCAAATGAGATTATACATCCAAAGGAGTCTTCTAAAAGGGAGGAGGGGTTTTCTTACCTAAGCCCACCCTCCTGCCTTCATGCCTAAAATAAGGACAAATGGGTTTCAGGAAGTAATTGCTACATGAATCTTCTGCCCTTACTCAAGTTGGCCACAGCCAGAAATGCTAGGAGGTGTTTTTCAAGACAATTTCTCAGCAAAATAAAGCACGGAAACATGAATGGATGGAGGAGTTTGCTTTGAATATTAAAAATGAACTAAATAGCATTTTTGTTTTGTGGTGCTCAGATGGTGTAGTTCCGTTTATTGTACATTATATGCATATAAGTGGGTTTCTCTCCTTGAATCACAGCACACAGATGCTGGTGATATGGATAATAAAAATTAAATGTAATATGTGTAAATTTATTTTTGTACAGGTTGCATTAATTCGGAAGTGGTTTTCTGGTGAAGCGCAAGAACGAAACATGTTGAAACCACCAATGATGATTGCTTGATCCACAAGAATTATGACAGATGAAACTTTGATATAATGCATTACATGTGCTTGTTTTGGGGTACACATGTATCATGTTTAGCAATTGTCATTGGTTTTAACAACGTCTGATTAAACTCAAACGGATGTAATAAAAGAGATTTTATGTAATACATATATTTGTGTAAATTATGGCACCTAAAATGTCCCATTTATTATTGTTTGTTGAGCGTGTTTTCAGGGGATGTGGTGTTGAATTCAGCCCTCCCTCATCCACTTTGAAACTAAACTTGTGTGGTATTTTCTTTTTTCAGTCTACCTATTTGAGCTCATCAATCAGTCTAGCAGACCCTTCATGTAAAAAAAACTCTACATAAAACGCAAAAAAAAAAAAAATCTGATTACGGATAGAACGTCCACTTTTCCATAGAAGTGGATATTAAGCCAATTAATATCAAGGAAAAGAAACTATTTCATGAATATGATTAAAGCCAAACTCCATTTCTCACCTCGCTCTTCTCTTTTGCTCTTTGCAGGATACGTTCCTCTATAGGCCCTTACATATGAGCCTGTAAACAGTGACTTGCTTGGTCTGACCCAGGCGGTGAGCTCGGTCCATAGCCTGCTGATCTACAGTTGGGTTCCAGTCACTATCATAGAAGATTACCTAAAAGATGGTAAGTAATACAAACACAAATAAATTAAAGGGAACTATAATTTTGTCAATTTTCTAATGTTTAAAGGAAAAAAATACTGTATCTTTTATATAATCATTTAAAAACATCATTATCAACTTTTATATAATGGTTTAATAACCTTAGTTTATTTACATAATGTAATAATTGAGTTAAATGATTCAAATTTACTGTGGTACAGTCTGGACAACCCATAGTCTATGGGATCCCCCCAAATATCCACATGCACCCTAGACCCCAAGTAGTCTACAATCATATGATTGGGGCACTGCCTGTAACTATTGCCTGTAGCCAGGCCTGTCGTCTGTGGTTGGAAAAACTACTGAAAAGCTCTGCCGAGACAAATCCTACTGCTTCTCCTTTCATGGATCTTAGGAGCAGAGGCATGTTGGACATGAGATGAGAACCTGCCATTATCTGGAAAGGAAGCCAAAAGGTTCTTCTGCAACATCTGTTTTAAGTAGTGCATTTCTTGCTCCCTCTGGAAGGTAGTAAGATATCCGCCATGTTCCCCTTCTATCTAATTTCAAAAAGGTTTGCCACCCAGTAATGGTCCCTCTCCTTTGCCTGAATCCTGTGGTCCTTGCATAGTCATTTCAACATGGATGAACCAATTTCCCACAAATTGCCAGGAGGGTGTCCAGAGGACACCATTGACATTAGTGATCTCACCCAGCCCACGGACAACTCTAGGCATTTGGGGAGGGGTGAATAGTCCTATGGAAGCCTGCCCAATTTTCTGCCTATTGCCAGCATTCCTATCCTCCTTCTTGTACTCCTCCGCTACCTCCTGCTGCCTCTGCTTCAGGGGCAGCGCCAGGTGGGTGCTTGCGGGTGCTGAAGTACCCCCAAAAATTATTTAAGCACCTCAATAGCACCACCAAAATTCAGATGCCAGCACTTGCACATCTGATTTTTTTTTTTTTTTTTTCATTGCATCTGCACATCCTCTATTAATGCCAGAAGCCTGTGGAGGGATACAGCTGCTCTGGCCACAAAAGTCCATAACCTTTAGTTAGGCCCAGCAGGCTGGTTTCAGAAGCAGATTGATATACAGTCTCTCTGCAGCCTCCTCAGTCAATCAGAAAGCGCAGTAGCCACCTCCTTCCCAAGCCAGTCCCGATTTGACTTCTAAGCTAAACTGTAACAGAATGAGTTGCCAGCAGCTGGATTAGAGGCGGAGAGGAGAGGAGTGGAGAGAACACAGATGGACTACAATGAAGACAGATTCTCCAGTCTGCAGTGATCCACGTGAGTCGTTTTCCTACACTTGGTCTAAAAGGAAAGAAACCACTTCTGCCAGTATGGAGAGAGCAGGCTCTAGAGGAAGATATCCTTCATCCAATCAAGCCATGCTGTATTCTGACATCAGAAAGCTTTTGGTAAAGATCCTCAGCAATAAAGTTTAAACACAGAATTCTGCCAGCAAAAGTTACAGCGAGAAAAGAATGCAGGATGTCTGTGTTCTGTCACTCCCTCTCTTTGCTTGCTTTATCCTTAAAAGAGAAGTATTTGGATCCCCCCCCCCATTATAATTACTTAGGTGCGATGCTGCATCTGCTCCCTGCTGGCTATATGGGTGAGAACTCAACGATCACATGACCGCTGATCGCGGAGTTCGCATAGCTGCTCTGAGCAGAGAGTGGGACTGTCACTCACTGCTGTCTGCTCAGCACCCCTGAGCCCGCTGGAGCGCAGGGCTGTGGAGGGAGCAGCTGGCTCAGGCTCTCAGCAGTTTGCTGAGTGGCTCAGCCAAGTGCCGCTCCAGACTCTGGGGTGAATTTCAGCTCAAGTGCAGTGTACAGCCTGCCATTTACATGAATGATTGTACGATGCTGTAATCCTCTATACAGCAGTTCGATCATAAATATTCATAAATGATTCAGGTCAATGATGGGCCGTACACCACACTGGACTGAGAAAACTGAACTGCAATTACACTGAATGGGCTCAGCCACCTGTGTGCAAGAGCCTTGAATCTCAATAAAAGTAATATGAACTTTTTCCCTCTGTACTCGCTCTTCCTTCTCATGTTAGTGTATATTTTATCCAATATTGAGTTTGGTATTTACTACCACCACCATATGCAATCTATTCAAGAGAATCAACTAATTTGCAACTCTGCACTCCATGTAGCATACTCCTGAACGCTACACTCTGTACATAGCGCACTCCTGATATCTGCACTGTGTATATATAGCGCACTCCTGATCGCTGCACTGCGTACATAGCACACTATTGGACCCTGCATTCTGTACGTAGTGCACACACAAACACTGCACTCTATATGTAGCGCACTTCTGAAACATGAACTGTGCATGTAGCACGCTTCTCAACCCTGCATGCTGTAAGTAGCACACTCCTCAATCCTTTACTGTATGTAGTATGGAGTATGTATACTCCTGGTATTTAATGCCCACGGTTAGTACAGTTTGGCCAGATCAACCATTTGGTGCAGCATGCTCTCTGCTTCAGTAAGGGAGGAAGGGGTCATTTGTATTGTTATGGGAGCGGGATTGGATCCTGCACCTATTCTATCAAACAAAAAACGGACCACCAGTATACAGGGTCACACTGATCACCAGTATGAAGGGCCACTGGCAACCAGCCTACAGAGGACATACCAAATCAAATAAAACCACTACCACACAACCAACAAAAATCTCAAACACAATAATCACAGAATCTTTTTAGCTGGTTGCTGCTAGCATTGATATGTGTTCCCACATCCATCGTGAAGCAATGTAAAACAAAAAAATGCAGGAAAACCCTACACTTACTCTATAAAATTGTGCAAATAGACAGTTATATGTAATGGTAAAACCTATATATGAATATCCAGTACAAATCAACCAATGTATTGCAATAAATTAGTGATGGTGTGGTGTCATCCTCTCTGCAAAAATATTTTGAGAAATTTCAGAGCTGCAATGTGTAAATAATGGTGAAACCCCTTATGTACAATAATAGCAGAGATGAAAATCAAACAGTGTATTAGAACATAGTAGTGATGGTATCACCCTCTGCAAATGTTAAGAAATATTGTAGAGCTGCAATTTGCAAATAGTGGTGAACCCCCTACATATAATTACAATAAATGTGTAATTGATGCACATTTATTATTATTATTATTATAATATGTATGGGTTTTCACCACTATTTGCACACTGCAACTCTGCAATGTCTTAACATTTGCAAAGGGTGACACCATCACTACGATTTTATAATACATTGGTTGATTTGCACCCCTGCTATTATAGTACAAAGGGGGTTTCACCATTTTTTGAACATTGTAACTCTGCAATTTCTCAAAATATTTTTGCAGAGAGGGTGACTTCATTGCTACTATATTGCAATACATTGCTTGGTTTGCACTGGATATTCAATCATATATAGGTTTAACCATTGTACTTTTAATTCCATTTGTACTGTTTTATAGAGGAAGTGTAGGATTGCGCTGCACGTTTTGCTTTCTATTGATATAGAGAACATACTGATCACCTTTGTGCAGGGGCATACTAATCATCATTTTGCAGATGTACACTGACCACCAATGTACGGGAGCTTGAAAAGTGTTGACTATCGATGTGAACTAATATTGTACGTAGTCTTGACCCCACATTCTATATGCCCTATAATGTTGACCTCTTCACTCTGAATGCTATGTTGTATATCGCACAATAAATGGGGAACACTGATTGCTATACTGCTGGGGCTTTATTAGTGTGTTGTGGTGGGGGTTAATTGTTGTGACGTGTTGCAGGTTAAATATCATGCAATGTTGTGGGCTAACTATTGTGAAACATTGGAGGTTTTTGTGCAATGTTGGGGTTAACTGTTGTGCAATGCTGAGGGTTACTTATTGTGCAACGCTGGGCCTAATGAATGTGCAGTGCGGAGAGTTAAGTATTTAACCATATCCTGGTTAATTAATCTGCTGTGATAGCAGTTAATTTTTGTGTCCTACTGTGGGTTAATTATTGTGGGTTCTGGGAGTTAATTATTATGCTGTGTGTTATTGCTAAACTTAACTCAAGCTGGGGGTTATATTTTCTGGCCCCAGCTGGGCTTCTTTTAATCCTAGTCTTATCAGTTCACCCCCAGGTCTTATTTGGCCTACACAAAAAGGAAAAAAAGTGTTATACTACAAGCCATAGACCATGAAGAAATGCCCAGTTGCTGGCAATGCCCACAGGTGGCACACTTCATGTGACACATTAGCACCCCCACTCATACTTTCAGCACTAGCATAGCACCCCTAAAAATTTTTGTCTGGAGTCACCCATGCCCTGCCTCACAGAGAGCCTACTGGCCTTAAGACAGGAGAAAGTCTGTCTGTCTCTTTTCTGCTGCTGTGCCTCTAGTGTCCAGTCAATCACACCACACAATGTGTACTCCAACAGGAACACCAAAGCAAACATATTACTAATTCCCACCTTGTTGCGACTCACAATTTGGGTCACCTCTTTGAATGGTGACATGATGCTGCGTGCATCCCTGAGTCAGAAACTATGGGCATGGTAAAAGGACCGCAGCCCTACAGAGCCAGTTCTCACCCCATACTTGCACAGATATTTGTGATGAGTTGCTGCTGCTAATGCAGCCTCAGCAGCATAGCCAGTGTGGCATTCCAGTACATGGGTGTATCACATATTGGATGTCTGGCAGAAAGCCTATGTTATCACACCCTTTTGGCTAGGTGCACATTTGCAGGGTATACTCACCCAAAGTGGCAACACAGTCTTCTGGTCTACTGCAGGACATTCTGGAAGCCAAGGTACTTACACAGGAACTGCTGCACCACCATGTTCTGTACAAATATGCCAGGCAAGGCAACCTGCCGAAGGGTGGACAGAAGGGTGCACACACATCAACACATCACACACCACTCATAACAAAAAAAATACCACAACCCCCACCACACAATCCACACATAACACGTGCTGTTGTCATACATGACCTTGTCCAGCACAAGATGGTGAAGATAGTAAGTCACCATTCAACTTGCCCCTGAAGAGCTGCCAGAATCAAATGCAGTGTAGCTTCTGTCTCCCAGGCATTCAAGCAGAAAAACAGCATGGCAGTATTTTGGGCCATTGACTAGGCTCTAAGGCACTTTGGAATACTGGCCATTCTGCAGAGTCCAAGATGGATGCCAGAAAAGAAGGGGTAGAGGTTACTGCATTGTCACCTACACCAGTGTGCAAGACAAAGAGTGACACCACAGCTGCAGTGTGCCCCATCCTGCATCCTTCTCTGCCACTAACAGAGTGGTCCAGCAACACTGACATTACCTTCCATATGCTGGTGGAGGGCAGGAATAACCATCTAGGTGAAAAAATAGTGAGAGTGGTCAGGTGCCTGCCACTATGGTGTAGCACAGGCCATAAAATTGTAGAAGGGGACCAAATCAATGAGCTGGAATGGGAGCAAATGAAATCCAGCAATTTTTCCAAGCTGGCATTGAGACACTGGGCATGAGGTGATTAGAGGACAATTTTACTTCTACTCCAGCAGCTGTGGAACAGACATCTGCCTAGTCAAATATACTATTGGAGATGGCGGGGTGGAGTTAGGAGACTTATGGCGAGCTTCAAGGCTACGCTTGGCCCTACTCCTACTGTGTAGTCTGTTAGTCTACAGCTTATGCAGCTGACCTTGACATTAAAAACAAAAAAAGGCCCCAGGAAAAAAAAAAAAAAAAAAAAAAAATCTTTTGTCTATACACTGTGAACACAGAGAGGTACACAGTAATATGTAGCATACCATACTGCAATTCACAGTAAAGTAGCACAATGTGGCACTGTATACACATTAATATTTAGTCTATGACACTGCAATCCACAGTAGTGCAGTACAAAAGAGCACCGTGTAAAGCGTTGTATAGCACAACTCCCCCATCACACACTGCCCCTATGGAAGTCAACATACACTGACAAATGCCTGTTGGGAGCACTGACTTTTAAAGTTAGGGCCACATAAAGCCCCCATTATTGGCTATTCTAAGCTACCTGACCTCAGTTCAACAGACAGGAAGTGCATTACTGGTAGTCAGTTGCTTTGATGCAAATCAACAATAGCATTAGTTTGGCATCTCTGTAGATAGGTTGGGTTCACTGCAAACCCAATTTCAACCTAAACCCGAAGTTCTTCTCTAGCCAAGACTTTGACTCTACCCCTGGTAGCCCCTCTCAAACAGTGATTTGGCAGCCTTCTAATATCAACACAAACACAAAGCAGGAGCTCTGGGGGGGGGGGGGGGGTGCACGATGAACTGAGCTGCCAAGAGAAGGACTGACATTACTTCACAGAGTAAACTGATCCACAGTGCAGATAAGTGAGGATTGGTTTTAAAGTTCTAAAGTTTGTTCAGAATATGTAAACACCTGAATGTCCATAGTCTGGCTACCACTTCACTTTAAAACAAATATTTTTCAATTACTTATTTTAATCCTGAACACAGTAAGATAAAGCAAAATACATAGAAAAAGCACATTTTCTGCTTTGCAGTCTGCATCGTAAAGCCTGAAAACTACTCTGCCAACAAATGTATAGAATTTTCATATACAATATTAGCATTATATAGGAGTTAGGTTACTTAGTGATTCTAAAACCTAAACATTTTTACATTAAAAAAGAACTTCACTCTCTCAATCAACATTGATTATTTTTAATCCTTATGTTGCTAGCATTAGTAAATAGATAGGAAAGTATATCGTATTTACTTGTTTTAAACTTTTTTTTACACTTCACTTACTTCTTGGTTTCCTACCTAGGCAAATGATGTCATGCATCCTAGGAGGAAGGGTTCTCAGCTCAGCCAATGCCTGAGATAATGGCAGACGAATTTCAGGAAGTAAATGCTATATGCATCATCTGCCCTTACTCAAGATGGCCATTGCCAGAAATGCTAGGACGCGTTTATCAAAATTATTTCTCAACATAATAAAGCATGGGAGACATGGATTGATGGGTGAGTTTGCTTTGAATATTAACTACAGTATACAATATGAATTAAATAGCATTTTTGGTTTGTGGTGCTCAGATGCAATGCAGTTCCACTTTAATGCATATGTATTAGTGTTGCCCCCTCAACCACCCTTATACTTACCTGATACCTCACTAGATCCAGCACTGTGCGGCTCCCATCCCTCTCACAGACTTTGCCGAGGCAGTGGGAGTCATTAGTTACTGCTGCTGTTAGTCAAATCTTGTGACGAGGGAGTGGGATGCAGGGCCTAGCAGCAGTGTCTATGGATCCAGGTAGCACGGATGTATATTGCTTGTTGCATTGACATGCATCTTAAAACGTGCTGCATTATTTTTCTCAAAGACTTGAATCGAAGTCACTTGAATTGAATTTGATGGTAAACTGCATATCAACATACTCCATATACAGCATAGAGAACTTTCTTGCAATGCACTGAAAACAAAATCTCCTGTGAGATTTACTAAAAGCTGAGAATCTTCACTGATTGGATAATTTACACGATTGGATAACTGAAGTGAATATTCACTCAATTTATTGACTGAAGATTATCAATTCTTAAAGTAAATCAGCCTCTTCATCCTCAGAGTTTCCAGAAATATGTGAGTGGTGGACTGAGTTCACAGCAATATTTACCTAGAAGATATTGCTTTTGGGTGTACTGACTTTAATATAGAAATTGCATGCAACAGACTGAAACCAGTGTGTGCTTACCGTATCAGCAGCTGTAAGATTAATACCAAGCCCACCAGCTCTAGTACTTAGCAGGAAAACAAATATGTCAGTCCTAAAGCAAAAGAGAAATAACCTTTAAGCAATATGGGATTAGGAACAACAGTATGTAGCACACATATGATTTCAGGCAGATCACATTGACGCTAAACTGACAGTGTTTTCCCTTTATCCTCGAAATTATTACGGTTTGTTCTATGGACGGTTAAACTCTTCCAATGTAGCACTACAGCTGGTAACAACTGGTATTGTACCTGGACCATTCAAAAATAATGCGTTCCTAAGAGCACTAGTTATTTTCTGCCAAGCCATTTCGGTAAAGCATATCTAATAAAAAAAAAGCCAAAAATGTTATATACTGCAAGCTTACCTGTCCTTAGATGAGGGGGCTGCATTCATTTTCTTCCCCCCCCCATCTTCATTTTCACCTGGTAGTCCACCACACTTCCTGTCTCAGGGTGTCTACTGTTCAGACAATCCACTCTATCTATAGAGGGAGCCATGGTTGTCACCCAAGCAGGACTTTAAACAGGTCTTCCTCCCTATTTCATCTCAATTATGGGGAGGATGACATTGACACAAAACCAAACCCCATTGATACAGACCCTAATAAGGCAGCTCACGCCTATGTAACGCTTACTTTGTTTCTTTCTACCAATATACAGTTACCTTATAAGCTATATACTTGGATATCAGAAATTTCTCTCCAAGCTAAAAAGTTTCATTTTACATTTGCATTGCTTCAAAAAGTTCATTATGAATAATTTTTAAGCATGCAGTACCTTGAAAATAAAAAGTAGCACCTTTCAACTTGCATTTGAGAAACTCTCTAGACCTTAAGCACAAAAATTAGAAAAACTACCAGTTTTAATTCAATTAGCCTGAAGTGAACAGAAGGAGGAGCCTGACCATGGCGTGGAGTGAGAGCCCGATGTGAGGGCTCTCAGCTCCTAATACCTCCGTTTGTCCTGCCTGGAGAACAAGACTCACCAGTGAGAGGGGTGGTCTCGATGGAGAAAGCGAAGAAAGCGACAGGAGGGTGAGTGTGAGCGTCGGACTGCTGTGACGGAAAAGAAATGTGGGGGAATAGAGATGTGTTGAAAAACTAAAACGGGGTTTCACCCAGGGGGTCTCTAAAGGAAGAGAGAGGAAGGAGAAGGAAATAAAAGAAAAGGCGTGGAAGGAGAATAAGATACAAACAAAGACCCAGAAGAAGTGGAACTTGGCGGAGGTGTGATTAGGAGAGGGGGGAGAGGAAAAGCAAAAGAAAGAAAGTGGTGAGAATATTCCCCTGGAAGAGAGTATAAAAGTGACTATAACTTGATTTAGTTCCGAAAATAACCCCCCCAGAACCCCGAAAAATTTGAAAATATTGCGGACATTACGAAAAATAAAGTGATTAAAAGGAGGCGGGCCTAAGGCTTCCCAAACAGGCTCAATTAAAAAAATATATACCCTCACAGGAGAAACAGACCCATGAAAGACAACAGGGAATATTTGAAGGAAGTGAGATGGAAATCAGTGTTGGAGAAAACTCCAGACTATCCCTAGGAATAGCTAATAGTAGTCAACAAAATGGAAGGAGTGGGGATGGAAAATGTAGAAGAACAAGATAAGAGCTCACAGATGCCCACCAGAACAGAAACAGCAGAAATGTTCAAAGGACTGGAGAAATCCGTAAAGCAAGAAATGGCAAAAATACACAAAGATCTGGGGCAAATATTAACCAGAGTGGAGGAGACGGAAGAAAAAGGTGGATAAACATGCCCAAATTATCCAGAAGTTAGAAAAATGGACGATAGAAATAAGAAAAGAACAAAGAAATCTGCTATATAAAATAGAACATCAGGAGAATAGAGATAGGAGATGTAACCTAAGGATACAAGGCCTTCCAGAGATCTCTCAAGGATAAGATCTAATGGGAATAACAAGGAAAATGCTGAATACTATAATGGACAGACCTACATTAGAGACTCTTAAAAAAATGGACAGAGTATATAGAATAGGAAGACATCAACAAGAAGGTAGAAAAGAAAATACGAGAGATGTAATTGCGCAATTTCATAATTATCGAGATAAAGAGGAAATCTGGAAGAAGAGGAAAGGAAGAACTGTGATAAAACATGGAGAAATAAATATACAGATTTTTGCTGATTTAGCAGCAGAAACATTGATAAAGCGATCTCTGAAACCATTATTAGAGCAGATGAGAAAGCAGAATATTCGATACAGCTGGGGATTCCCAGAGTGTTTAAAAGGATAGAAAAATGGCCGTTCAGCAAGATTGAGACTCATCTAGTACAAGAAACAAATGTGAAGTTACAATCTAGGCATTACCTAGAGTGGTTTTATGCAGATTCCCCAGTTAAATGGGCAAAGGGAGCGGCAATAGGATTTGCGAAAAACATAACGTTTAAGTTGGAAGAAAGATGGGCAGATCCTGAAGGGAGATTCTTGTTCCTGAAAGGAATATTACAGGGAATTACTAGCAAATATTTATTGCCGCATAAGAAAACGGAGATATTTTTGAAAAATACGCTGAGAAAATTGATGGATTTCAAAAAAGGTGGTCTGATTGTGGCAGGAGACTTCAATTTTTGTATGGATCCACAGATAGATGTGACCTCTCCGGTACATAGAGAAGGTAGCAGGTCTCTAAAAAAATCTAAAAAAAATTTTATATCAATGTCAACTGGTAGATGCATGGAGAATTAAGCATGTGAAGCATAGAGACTACACACGTTTTATTCCCATGCACACAAGATGTACTCAAGACTGGATCACATACTGTTGGATCATCGACTTATTGAGTCTATAGTTAAAGTAAATATAGAAACCATGTCGATTTCTGATCATGCTCCTGTCACAATGAAATTACTATGGGGAAATGAGCAGAGTGGAGGGAGATCATGGAGGTTAAAATGAGACACTCCTTCAGGATCAAGAGACGGATCTGAAAATTAAGAAGGAAAAAAGCAATGTTTTAAGGAAAATTATTCTGAGGAAGTGTCGGTAGCCACGGTGTCGGAAGCTCATAAGGCCTATGTTAGAGGAATCCTAATAGCGATAGGAGCAAAGAAGAAGAGGGAAAGAAGGGAAAAAATAGATACACTTTTTAGAGAACTCTGTAATTTAGAGCAGATACATAAAAATAAAATAACAAAAGAGGGGATGCAAAAGATAATAATTAAAAGAGAAGAATTAAATAATTTCTTGGAAGAGGATAAGAGGAGAGTCTTTAAAAAAAATAAGTGAAAGATATAGATGGGGAGATCGACCAGGAAAATACTTAATGAGGGCCCAAAGGAAAAAAAAAAAAAAATCTACAAATTATATAGAGAAAATAAGAGATGACAAAGGAGAACTACTGCACTCAAATAAAGATATAACAAAAGTGTTTAAAGATTATAATAAGTTATATAATATAATGCCCCATGGTACTAAAGAAGAAGACAAAATAAGAAAAATAGAAAGAAGACAGGCATATATAAAAAAGGCGGGATTACCGAAATTAAGCGAAGAACAATTAAAATCCTTGGAAATAAAAATCACACAAGAAGAAATACAAATAGCATTAAAAAGTACTGTAGCTGGAAAGAGCCCAGGCCCTGATGGGTATACAGTAACATACTATAAAAAAAAATAGAAAAATATTAAAACCAAAACTGAGGCTATATATGTACGGTTTGGGAGGAGAGATGAAAATGAGGAGGGAATCCCTGCAAGCTCATGTCGCCCTTATACACAAGGAAGGTAAAGACGATACCTACTGTGCAAGTTATAGACCGATTTCCCTATTAAATTATAATCAAAAGTACTAGCAAACAGGTTGAGAGATTTAATGCCGAAGTGGATACATATGCATAAAGTTGGGTTTGTCCCAGGGAGGGAGGGTAGAGACAACGAATTAAGATCCCAGTTTCTTATACAAAAAAGTAGGAAGGAGAAAACTCCTGCGTTGATACTCTTGATAGATGCTGAGAAAGCATTTGACAGAGTTAATTGGGGATATATGTTAGACACCTTGGAAGTTTTGGGATATGGTCCCAAAATGAGAGAATGGATAAGGAAATTATATAGTAAACCCTCTGCCGCAATTATGGTAAATGGGGAATTGTCAGAATATATGGAGATAGGGATGCCCTCTGTCTCCATTGTTATATGTATTATCTCTGGAATCTCTCCTGGCCACCATAAGGAATAATATAGACATAAAAGGAATTTGGGTAGCAGAGATAGAGCATAAGGTGGCAGCTTATGCAGATGACATGCTGTTCTATGTAGGAAACCCATGGATAAGACTGCATGAAATCTTTAAAGAATATGGTGAGATGTCAAATTTAAAAATTAATTCAACTAAAACAGAGATATTAAATATAAACCTAACTAGAGATAAAAAAAAATTCTACTGGAAGAATTTCCCTTTGTTTGGAGAGAAAGAATTAAAAATATCTTGGTATAAAATTGACGTATGTATAAAAAAAATCTATATAGATTAAATTACATTCCACTATTAAATGAGATTAAGGATGAAATAAAGAAATTAGAATGGGGATCTCTGTCATGGATCGGACGGATAAGTTTGATAAAAATGGTGATTGTTCCAAAAACTTTATATAAATTTCAAATGATACCAATTAAACTACCTGAGGTATACTTTAGTATGATTAAAAAAATCCTGACAAGATTTATCTGGAGGATTAAAAAACCTAGAATTAGTTATGATATTCTAAGTATAGACAAGAGAAAAAGGCGGTTTGGGTGTACCAGACATAAAAAGATACTATAATTCAGTAATATTGGCAAGAATTATTGACTGGACACAACGCTCAAGGAAAAAGCTGCTTAAAAATAGAAAACACACTAAGTTGTATGGATCTATGGAGAAATATTTGGTTTACCTCTTCAGTACCGTGGATTAGCAGACAACACAAGTTTATTTACACATAATGTATTAGGAGTTTGGGATGCTCTACACAAACAAATGGGATGGAAATTTAATTCACTGTTTTTTTTGTTAATTTAAATATTTATTAATTTTCCATATAAAATACA